TTTTTTAATATGTTTATATATATTTAAAAAAAGATGATATTTAATTAATATAATTAATAAATTATTTCTTAATTTGTTATATTTGATGTGTTTGATATTTAGAGTGATTTAAAGATAGATTATTTTTTTATATTAGGTTGATGTAAAGGTAATTAGAATAGATTTTATTTTAAAGGAATTTGGAATGAAATTGTTTTTTAAATCTATTTTTATATATTCTATATTTGTCGGTTTAAAATTTGGAATTATATTTTAATTAAAAATTATTAAATCGTCTAATTAATGATTTGTCTTAATTTTGAAAGATTTTATATTAGATTCCTTTGTTGTAGGAATATTTATATTTTAAAAATATTGTTATATTTAGAATAATTTAAATGCAAGGGATTTATGGCAAAAGGAATTTGATATAATATATAAATATATATATTAATTATATAAATAAATTAATTAATTTATTTATTTACATAAAATATATAATAATTTTTTTTGATAATTTATATTGAATATTAATATAATTAATATTAATGTGATTTGTTAAAACCTAATTTATTACTAATATATTTTTTTCTAAAGAACGGGATTCTTTAAATTGTTGTTTTTATTTATATTTTATATCTATATTTTATTTTTTTGGAGATTTTAGATTTATTTTTGTCAAATGATTTAATATATTGAATTTCAAAAATAATATATTTTAAATTCTATTTATTTAAAGAATTTAATATATAATTGCATTTAAACAATTTATTAAGAATTCGTCTATAATGAAATGTCTTTTTATTATTGATTTAATTATTAATTTAGAATATATTTCTATTATATAGATATTAAATATTAAAATTTGATTATTCTTAGATCGTATTTATTCATTTTATTTTAATATAATTATTCATTTTGAATTATAAGAATTTGTTTATAGATCGTATTTATTTATATTACAATTCTTCTTTATGAAAATAATATATTTTATAATCATTATTTGTAATTGATCCAAAAATCTTATTTTTAATCGTTTTTTTTTTTTTTTTTTTTTTTTTTTTTTTTTTTTTTTTTTTTTTT